GGACCATCCCTAAGAAGTATGAATGATTTATAGTGGCGTGCTTTGGTAGAATGTGAGATGATGGAGTTGCCACCGAAGACGGACCATCCCTAAGAAGTATGAATGATTTATAGTGGCGTGCTTTGGTAGAATGTGAGATGATGGAGTTGCCACCGAAGACGGACCATCCCTAAGAAGTATGAATGATTTATAGTGGCGTGCTTTGGTAGAATGTGAGATGATGGAGTTGCCACCGAAGACGGACCATCCCTAAGAAGTATGAATGATTTATAGTGGCGTGCTTTGGTAGAATGTGAGATGATGGAGTTGCCACCGAAGACGGACCATCCCTAAGAAGTATGAATGATTTATAGTGGCGTGCTTTGGTAGAATGTGAGATGGAGTTGCCACCGAAGACGGACCAGCGTTTTATAAGAAGTATGAATGATTTATAGTGGCGTGCTTTGGTAGAATGTGAGATGATGGAGTTGCCACCGAAGACGGACCAGCGTTTTATAAGAAGTATGAATGATTTATAGTGGCGTGCTTTGGTAGAATGTGAGATGATGGAGTTGCCACCGAAGACGGACCATCCCTAAGAAGTATGAATGATTTATAGTGGCGTGCTTTGGTAGAATGTGAGATGGAGTTGCCACCGAAGACGGACCAGCGTTTTATAAGAAGTATGAATGATTTATAGTGGCGTGCTTTGGTAGAATGTGAGATGATGGAGTTGCCACCGAAGACGGACCATCCCTAAGAAGTATGAATGATTTATAGTGGCGTGCTTTGGTAGAATGTGAGATGATGGAGTTGCCACCGAAGACGGACCATCCCTAAGAAGTATGAATGATTTATAGTGGCGTGCTTTGGTAGAATGTGAGATGATGGAGTTGCCACCGAAGACGGACCAGCGTTTTATAAGAAGTTATGACCAACGTTTTTAATAGGAAATTCACTTCTTTGTAGTGAACGATGTAGAGTCGGCAGAGTATGGAGAAATTATGAGGACCTTTAGGTGTGCTTTTATAGAACAATGATGAGGGCTTTTATAGAACAATGATGAGGGCTTTTATAGAACAATGATGAGGGCTTTTATAGAAGAATTATGAGAATGATGAGAACTTTTATAGAAGAATGATGAGAACTTTTATAGAAGAATGATAGGAACTTTTATAAAAGCATGATGAGAACTTTTATAGAAGATTGATGAGAACTTTTATGGAAGATTGATGAGAACTTTTATAAAAGAATGATGAGAAGTTTTATAGAAGAATGATAAGAACTTTTATAGAAGAATGATGAGAACTGTTATAGATGAAAGGTCAGAGCATTGTAGGCAGATTAGATTGATAAGAGGGTGGTGAGGATTTCTTGAAAGAAATTAACTCGCAGAAGAGGAAAAACAATGATTCTAATTAGATTTACACACACACAATATACATATATACACACACACACACATGAAGTTCTTTACTTATCTGGCCGTAAATCTTTCATTCTGATTCTCATTTTCACTCTCTATCTCTCCCACTTATTTCTTTCACTATGTGCATTATTCTTTGTAAACTCTTAACTTCCACACAAACACACACACTGTCATGCTCTCGCCCTCATTATCAGTCATGTGCGGCCCAAGATTCAATTTCCTCCTCCTTATTATCAATAATATGTGCTCTCTCTCAATATATATATATATATATATATATATATATATATATATATATATATATATATATATATATATATATATATATATATATATATCCACGAGTTCACACACACTAAAACTCAGCAGACAAGTTATCTAACGCACAAGATCCAAAGTCAAAAACTACAAGCCAGTACCTTTCCTCACTCTTGTAAACAGATCAAACATGGCAGGAATCAAACTGCGATAACACCAAAGACAAGACACGGGTATCAAAGACGACAACGTGCGCACGCTCTAGACACGGTCTCTGGGGAAAAACCCAGTGTGGCAGTGGAACATATCCTAAACCGACGGATGGGAAGCAGGGCTGTCGAAGTTGGTAGTTTCGTACCAAAGTTGATATTTTTTTTAAACCTGTCGAGCGAAACTGTACTTTTGGTACCAAACATGATGATTTGGTACGTCTTTGCCCCTCTCTTTAACAATATCAGGTTAAAAATAAATCTTTCTTCTTTGAAAACTTCAACAGTAAATTTACTGTTATAAAAGTTTTTGCTCCAGGACATTAAATGGTCCCAATTGGAAGCCGCCACAGCAGCTGTATAACACACACACAAACACACACACAAACCCATAGCACAGCAATGATGTCATGGACACATAATTTAATTTATAATCAGTTTTATGTGTAGCTTATTTTTTATTTTAAAGTTTTAACGGTTTTGTAAAATTAAAATTGATAAATTTAGTATCTTTTGTATGTTTTTCGTACCTTTTCAATAATAACAATAACAACAAAATGGTACTGTCCCCCTCCACTCTAATAAAACCCGTCTCGGCAACCCTAATGGGAAATTTCATAACGATCTGACATCTGCGTCTCTCTGCATCTATAATGAAGCGTTCTGCTAAACCTGGCCTCTGGTAATGTTTAGCAGGGATTGGAAGGGGATAATCCTAGCATGTTTAAAAAATAAAAACACATTAAGGTAAATAGGGTCCTAATGAAAGCCTACTTTTTTGGTGTTAAACAAATGATTCTTCAAAGTGATTCTTTAAAGTAATTCTTTCACAATGTCGCCATGCTGAAATTTTAAGGTAAAAAAAGAAAAATTAATAACATTGAAGATTTAATTTTTTTTTTTAATGTGATGGGAAAAATGAAAGCTTACTTTTAGGTGTCAGAAATTGATTCTTCTACAAGTGTACATCAAATTTTCCCCTCGTAAATGAAAGACAGGCGATTTGTAATAGACAAGGACAGATAACTCCAACTGTAATACTGGAAATCAGATTCGCTGTGAACGTTACAGTTCGTTTATCTGTCTGGTGAATGGCTGGCCTGTCTGGCGGGAGATTGACCGATATCAAATTGTGCTTGCTGCCATATCAAACACACGATCAAACTCCCATCCAAGCCAGACGTGGAATCCGTTACTTTACTCCTGATTCAGCGCCAAAAACTCACTCAAGGAGTCTAGTCGTTAGCAGCATCTCCCAACTAGCAGAGCAATGTTTCTAGACAAGTATTTCTATGACTGAAGCCCGCTATGTTATTAACTCATTATGGGCCTTTCGAAGCCAGTTGTGTATGTCATATGATGCTAGATTATTTTTATAGACCAATCGACACTTGGTGGATAATGTGTTTAGCATTACGTCGGCCACCTTTACTTCCCATGACATTATCCATGAGTGTCAATGTTTTCAAATGGAGGTGGAGCGCCACGATGTGGATTCGAACCCAAGAGCTTCGGGTAGGCCGGCAGGGGAGAGTTCTGTCAGTACGCCACCCCGACTCCCTCACTAATAATGATGATTCTTACATACATTCTTCATCATCATCATCAAAATCATCATCACCATTATCATCAAGTAGTGAAGTCGTTTCATAACAGGACGCCGGAAAGCGGCTCGTCCATTGCCAACTCTCCCGATTCGTGAAATTTCATGCTTTAAATGACTTTGCTTATATACTCACGTATCATCGCACCATGTTTAGAGGCGAGAGAATCGAATTTACTGTACTGGGTTTTATCCCATGCGACAGACACGAGCCCCATAGCTCCATCGACAACCCCACGAATTTCCTGAGAATTGCCCTAGAGAACGTACAACGCAGTCTTTGAAATCATCCTACCACCTTTAGCGGGCAAGGTAAACGGATCAACAACTAGGCCCCGGAAAAGAGTAACAACAACAGAAAGTATAAATACGCTTTACAAAAACACTTACAATACAAATGGCTTGTTGTAAAGACAAGTATTCCATAGCAAGCTAAGAGACAGAAGAAAAGACGAAGACAGAAATAAACGTAATCATCTCCGTTTGTCGCACCGGCTCAAAATATTTCATCAGCTAGGGGGGAAGAGACAATGTAGTCGGGACAAACACCAGGAAGGTATGGATTACACAGCTTCCCAAGGGACGAGTACTGACAATGAAGCGTGTGATTTTTATTAGAAAGAAATGCTATACGACAAACACACTGGCTGGTGTGGGAAATTTGTCCTAGGCTACGAAAGGAAATGAAATGCAATCAAAACAAAGGTAATCCAGAAGATTATAATGTCAGGGAAAAACAGAACGGGAGGGACTAGCTTTAGATTAAACTGCATGGGATATGGGGGAAATAAACCACAAGAGATTTCTGATTAGAGAAGAGAATCCAGTTAAAGGATAACGGTAGGGTCGGTAGTAGTGGTAGCAGTAGTAGTAACAGTAGTAGTAACAGTAGTAGCAACAGTAGTAGTAACAGTAGTAGTAACAGTTGTAGTTACAGTAGTAGTAACAGTAGTAGTAACAGTAGTAGTAACAGTAGTAGTAACAGTGTGGTAGTGGTGGCAGTAGTAGTGTTAAAGGTGGTAGTAGCTGAAGCAATAGTGGTAGTAGTGGTGGTAGCGATAGTAGTAATAGTAGGAGTGGTAACAGCAGCAGCAGTGGAAGTTATGATGGTAGTGGAGGTGGTGGTGTTGGTAGTTGTTGTTGCAGCAGCAGCAGCGGTAGTAGTGGTAAGTAAAGTGAAATAGGTAAATGAAGCTTCTCTACACTTTCAGGCATATAGGGCTAGACCTATATTTTTTAGACTAATCTGTACATAGTGGATGGTGCGGTCAACATCACATCGCCCGCCATTACTTCCCCAAGACTTCGCCTAGTCCATAGTTAAAGCCGGGTCTACATGGGAACAAAGGTCGTGTTCGAGAGAAAAAAAATCCAAGTCTATTCGGAATTGAACCCACGACCTTCTGATCCAGAGGCAAGCGTCTACCCGCTACACCAAGACGGCTCCATGTAGTAGTGGTAGTCTAATAATAATAAGTGAAGAGTTATTTGGAAGCGGAGGAGACGTAGTTTTAAAGACGAATTATAGGAATACCCCGGGCAGATGGAACGAGTAACGACAGATGACAGAAACTGACTCAGGAAAAGAACTAACTGCCCACATCAACAGACAGTCTAAAGAACTAACTGCCCACATCAACAGACAGTCTAAAGAACTAACTGCCCACATCAACAGACAGTCTAAAGAACTAACTGCCCACATCAACAGACAGTCTAAAGAACTAACTGCCCACATCAACAGACAGTCCAAAGAACTAACTGCCCACATCAACAGACAGTCTAAAGAACTAACTGCCCACATCAACAGACAGTCTAAAGAACTAACTGTCCACATCAACAGACAGTCTAAATAACTAACTGCCCACATCAACAGACAGTCTAAAGAACTAACTGCCCACATCAACAGACAGTCTAAAGAACTAACTGCCCACATCAACAGACAGTCTAAAGAACTAACTGCCCACATCAACAGTCAGTCTAAAGAACTAAGTGACCACATCAACAGTCAGTCTAAAAAACTAACTGCCCACATCAACAGACAGTCTAAAAAACTAAATGCCCACATCAACAGACAGTCTAAAGAACTAACTGCCCACATCAACAGACAGTCTAAAGAACTAACTGCCCACATCAACAGACAGTCTAAAAAACTAACTGCCCACATCAACAGCCAGTCTAAAGAACTAACTGAACACATCAACAGACAGTCTAAAAAACTAACTGCCCACATCAACAAACAGTCTAAGAAACTAACTGACCACATCAACAGACAGTCTAAGAAACTAACTGCTCACATCAACAGACAGTCTAAGAAACTAACTGCCCACATCAACAGACAGTCTAAGAAACTAACTGCCCACATCAACAGACAGTCTAAGAAACTAACTGCCCACATCAACAGACAGTCTAAAGAACTAACTGCCCACATCAACAGACAGTCTAAATTCTTTGATCGTGTCATGAGAATTGGAAAACTGAATATTTCTTGACAGTTGGAGGGAAGAGGAGGTAGGGAGAGATCGAGAGAGAAGATGACAGTTGGAGGGAAGAGGAGGGAGGGAGAGATCGAGAGAGAAGATGACAGTTGGAGGGAAGAGGAGGTAGGGAGAGATCGAGAGAGAAGATGAAAGTTGGAGGGAAGAGAAGGTAGGGAGAGATCGAGAGAGAAGATGACAGTTGGGGGGAAGAGGAGGGAGGGAGAGATCGAGAGAGAAGATGACAGTTGGAGGGAAGAGGAGGCAGGGAGAGATCGAGAGAGAAGATGACAGTTGGAGGGAAGAGGAGGTAGGGAGAGATCGAGAGAGAAGATGACAGTTGGAGGGAAGAGGAGGTAGGGTGAGATCGAGAGAGAAGATGACAGTTGGAGGGAAGAGGAGGTAGGGAGAGATCGAGAGAGAAGATGACAGTTGGAGGGAAGAGGAGGTAGGGAGAGATCGAGAGAGAAGATGACAGTTAGAGGGAAGAGGAGATAGGGAGAGATCGAGAGAGAAGATGACAGTTGGAGGGAAGAGGAGATAGGGAGAGATCGAGAGAGAAGATGACAGTTGGAGGAAAGAGGAGGTAAGGGAGAGATCGAGAGAGAAGATGACAGTTGGAGGGAAGAGGAGGTAAGGGAGAGATCGAGAGAGAAGATGACAGTTGGAGGGAAGAGGAGGTAGGGTGAGATCGAGAGATAAGATGACAATTGGAGGGAAGAGGAGGGAGGGAGAGATCGAGAGAAAAGATGACAGGTGGAGGGAAGAGGAGGTAGGGAGAGATCGAGAGAGAAGATGACAGTTGGAGGGAAGAGGAGGTATTGAGAGATCGAGAGAGAAAATGACAGTTGGAGGGAAGAGGAGGTAGGGAGAAACCGAGAGAGAAGATACTGGACAGTTTGATATCATGGCAAGGAAGTTCATCTGTGTCAGAAATGAATGAAAGTACACGAGAAAGAAATTTGTGGATAGACATGACTATCAACGCCACATGATATGAACTATAAAGAGATTAACTATAGAAGAAGGAGGATGAGGAGATATAGAAGAAGAAGAAGAAGAAGAAGAAGAAGAAGAAGAAGAAGAAGAAGAAGAAGAAGAAGAAGAAGAAGAAGAAGAAGAAGAAGAAGAAGAAGAAGAAGAAGAAGAAGAAGAAGAAGAAGAAGAAGAAGAAGAAGAAGAAGAAGAAGAAAAAGAAAAAGAAGAAGAAGAAGAAGAATGTTACCCCGTGTAGGTTCCGGGGCCCTATTTTAGGGAAAACGAGAATAGACCCACTGCCTACCCAAAAGCATGTCGTAAGAGTCGACTTATTGGGAGCTTCCTTCGAAGTCGGAGTGCATCTGCCTGAGAGGTAAGGAACTGGCAGTCTGCATACAAATTAGTCAGATCTGTAAAACGGATGCACACGCAACACTGAGTTTCTGGAATAGGACTGAAGTCCAAAGGTGGATGAACAACCAGAACTTTCTGCCGGAGATTACAGCTGGTGAACGCAAAAAAGAAAGAATGAGAAAAATAAATTAAAGCACTGTAACAATACCAGCAACTACCAGTTGCATGTAACGTTCCATATTGTTTACTGTTGATTTAGCCGTGGGGTTCCCCTGTACAGTCAGTTCCCTGGCACAACACCGCCCAGTTCCCATTGGAAATGACAAGAATAACTTGTGACATGCTAATGATGCGACCTCGCCGGCGGGAGACCACTAATAAGCTGACACAGACTGGCTGGCGACCGCACCGTGAAGGCATCCACCTAACAAGGTATGATCTGTGAACCTTACTTGATATTTCAGTGAAATTATACCTCCTGGTTTCAGTCAACTCTTCCTCTCCAACTTTACAGTTGTCAAGACGGATACGGATTATATGATTTCAACGGATGAACATCATGCACGCGTGTGTAACCCATAAGTGCTTTTTCAACTTCTAACTCAAGCCTGAGTCTGAAGAATCTCAGTGTAGTTCACGAATTCGAGAATCCTGAAATACTTTAGGTAGATTTTTAACTCTAAACTTTACTCAGGCAGCGCCGTTCGTCAACTTTTTTCGATTTCCAACTGTCAAGGGATTTTTTACGAGGGCAAAAATACACAGGGGCGTCCGGTCTTACTACCAAGAGACCAGGGTAAATTACTAAAGTCCACGTTAAAAAATCCTAGTATTCACAGGGTTTTGAACACAGGACCTCCAGTACTCGATACGGATGCCATCCCCAAGACCTCTCCGCCGCCGAACAGTTGTCAAGACGCACTGCTGTATTACTCTTTTCGAGTTGGCTGATTCAACAAATTTCATGTGAACGCAGCCATGTAAGTAACCAAGTAAAGGACTCTTTCCACGCCTTTTGGCGGACTGGGCATTTGGAGTTAGACCTATTATTTATATAGAGCTAGACCTATTATTTATAGAGTTCGACCTATTATTTATAGAGCTAGACCTATTATTTATAGAGTTAGACCTATTATCTATAGAGCTAGACCTATTATTTATAGAGCTAGGCCTATTTTTTATAGAGCTAGACCTATTTTTTTATAGAGCTAGACCTATTTTTTATAGAGCTAGACCTATTTTTTTTATAGAGCTAGACCTATTATTTATAGAGTTAGACCTATTATTTATAGAGCTAGACCTGTTATTGATAGAGTTGGATCTATTATTTATAGACCAATCGGCACTTGATAGATGACGTAGTCAACATCAAGCCGGCCGCCTTTACTTCCCAGGACTGCACCTGGAACCCACTCAAGGATGGGTCAACCTGGGAGCCAAAGTAATTTTTGAAGAAAGCATGGTCCCGCCAGGAACCGAACTCACGACCTACCGACCCGCAGGCGAGCATCTTGCCGGCAGCTATGGAATACTGGATAATAGCTGGGGCTGCCAAATTGTGATCTTCCGACATGAGAAAACTTTTAACATAAAACTTAGTTTAAAGTGTATCTCTGTATTTTGTATTTAATCATCTGATCTTCTCTAGAATATTGTTTTCTTTTGCATCAAATGTTCATAACATTTTCTGCATCTTAAATTAAATTTTACAAGTGAAATCAATTGGCCTGACTAACAACTTCACTTTGACGTTTTTCATAGGACCCTTGAGCATGGATTCAAGAAAAAGGGTCACTAGACAAGGTTACAGAAACCAAGTCTTTTTACTAAAGCATTGCGTGATAGAACAAAAAAAAAAAAAAAAAAAAAAAAAAAAACACAAGAACAGTGTAATCTTCACGACTTCAGAATAGATTTACCAACTCCTGCAGTTTTAAAAAAAGTCACATAATTTTAATTTTGACTTGGCTTGTAAAAGTTGCGGATAAATATGAGAATGCCAAATTTGCTTGCGGACGCTCAGATTTGCTCGTGAAATAAGGACGTTTCCGCAAAAATGAAGACGTATGGCCACCCGAATCTCAGCTCACATGTGCGTGCTTTATAATATCCTACCCCAGATATGTAGGATCTGACATCACAGGACACTCCAACATATAAGAGAGTGGTAAGACTGGATTTCTTGGCTTTCTGATGCTTTTAACCACCCCAAAACATTTAGAACTGGCACTAACCCCAACCCACCTACGTCCCACGAGACAGGGCAGCCTAGGTCCCACGACTGCATGCAGCCTATCTACCACCACCTGAAATATTAGACTGTCCCGGGACCTGTGGATTTCCCCTGTTTGGGGTAGGATATTAATAAAGCACCCACATCTGTTCACCATACAGTTCCATATATCTCCTCCCTGTTTTCCTCACTTGTTTACATGCGTGAACGTTTGTTATTATGTGTGTATAAGACAGCAGTCTCTCCGTGACGGTTTCAGTGCCCCATTTTGAAGAAAAACAGAACACCCGCTGCAACTTAACAAGAACGGTGTAAAATGCGACCAATTAATGATTTGTGGAAACTGATTTATTGTGCCAATAGGCAGAGAAATCGCAAACCTGGCCGTGAACCGCAACACAGCATGCCAAATTTCCTTCTAATTGCCAATACAGAAGAGGGAGAAGAATTAGAAGACGAAGACGAAAAAGAAGAAGACAAAGACGAAGAAAAAGATGACGACGACGAAGAAGAAGAAGGAGGAGGACGAGGAGAAGAAGTAGTAGTAGTAGAAGAAGAAGAAAAAGAAGAAGAAGAAGAAGAAGAAGAAGAAGAAGAAGAAGAAGAAGAAGAAGAAGAAGAAGAAGAAGAAGAAGAAGAAGAAGAAGAAGAAGAAGAAGAAGAAGAAGAAGAAGAAGAAAAAGAAGAAGAAGGAGAAGGAGAAGTAGTAGTAGTAGAAGAAGAAGAAGAAGAAGAAGAAGAAGAAGAAGAAGAAGAAGAAGAAGAAGAAGAAGAAGAAGAAGAAGAAGAAGAAGAAGAAGAAGAAGAAGAAGAAGAAGAAGAAGAAGAAAAAGAAGGGGGAGGAGAAGAATAAGGAGAAAACGAAGAAGAACAAGAAGAAGAAACCAGTCTGTTAGATATGACTAATCTAACGAATTTCAACTGAGC